GGTAACGACCATCAAATTTTGAACCGGTATACCTCTCTCTACGCCTCACATAGTTTCTACAGATACACATGCTTGCACCATCTGTCTCTCTCTCTCTCTCTCTCTCTCTCTCACACACACACACATGCTACCACCCACAAATGATGGTTTGAATTTTATTCATGTTCATTCTTCTTCAGTAACGAAGTTGGCCTGTTTGAGGATAATCCTTATGTCCATTAAAAAAATTCTATTTTTTAAAAAGTATTTTTTTTTTGAGGAAGCAAATATCTTTGGCTTTTTTTGCAGTGCTGGAGAACTCGAGAGGTTAATTATTCTGACAAATCAGTAACAGGTAAATTCAAAAGCATCTTACAATTTCTAATTATATTGATTTTTTACCAAAGGGAATTTATAAAACTTCACCTTTGTATGACTCATTATGTTCACTTTTGAAAGAGAAAAGAGCAAGACTTATGGTTTGGTTTTCGTAGAGAATACTCGAGCTTCTTACCCGATAGAGTACATCCCCAATGCAAAGATACCTTGTGTGGAACCCCACCCAAAGAATGTTATCCTTTTGGCATGCGATGCCTTTGGAGTTTTACCACCTGTTAGCAAACTCAGCCTTGCACAAACCATGTACCATTTCATCAGTGGCTGATAAAGGTCCAATTGGGATCTAAGGTCCAATTAGAATCAATGCTGATAAAGTTTAGTGTAGGGAATTAATTTTATCTTATTATGCCCTCTCAGTTATCTCTTTTTTCCGCTATAAGAGTTGCGTGCATCTCAAGGGGCATATCAAATAAGCATTTAACCCTGTTTGCCTATCTATGGAGAAAGCTTTTTTACCCAATATTTGGGTTTTGGGTTTAGAGTCTTAGACCTCAACATGACCCAGTCATCCAAAAATGGAACATGGAACCTCTCTGAGCAAACTGATGCAAAACAATTAGATTCAGTATTTCTGTTCAGTATGTCAATTTTCATATAGACTTCCAGAGTACTTCTATTTAATGGACCAAACTAGGAATTCACTTTTAGCCTGAGAATTGAGACCAAGCACTCTACACTTTGCCCACTGCAATTTGGGCACTGATTATCTGACCCAAACAGCCAACTTTGTGATTATGTTTGCGATGCTTTTTTCTCAAAAGATTCCAGCTTTTAATTTTTCCATATACACTAGTCTTATATAGACATTATATGCGATAACACGGTCTATATTTGGTAGGAAAGGGTCAAAATAGTCCCTAGCCGTTAGATGTGAAATCCAACAGTTTCAAGTGCGTCACTAAGTTAAAAAATTTATTTGGATTTTGAGCCTTGTCAATGGTACAACCTAAGCTGTTTGATTTCATACCTAACAACTAAGGGTGATCTCGACCTCGTTGTACTAGAGGTAAAGGTCTTATTGTGTGCTTTCCTTGTTATATTTAGAAGGAATGTGCCTAATACGAGTTTCTAGAATATTAATTTTCTTCCTATTAGGCTAGTTCCTCATAATTCTTGAAAGAAAATTTAGTGTCTTTGGGACCTAGTAGTTATTTATATTATTGTGTTGCTTTTTTGCAGCTATGGCTCCGGAAATAGAATCAAGCTGAGCTATATACATTCAGGCAGTCTTCTCAATGCAAACTATATCAAAACTGATGTCTTTGGCCTTGAGATCCCCACTGAAACTGAAGGTGTTCCCTCTGAGATTCTTCAACCTATGAACACTGTAAGTACAACCCACATTTCCTTCTCCCCTTTTCAAATGTTCAACTTCTTTTGATTTCCTTCTCCCCTTTTAAAATGTTCAACTTCTTTTGATTTAATTGAATCATGGTTTCAAATTTGGGTGAATTTAGGCTGAGATTTGGTTTCAGCTCTGATTCATACTACTCTTGAGCATTGGTCTCTATAACACAAGTCTTTCCAACATTTATGCATATTTTTGTTTAATTTGCAGCCACATCTAGTGTGCCTCACATTCTTAACTTGGGCCCACCAATTAATGTCCTTGCAAGGTTACTATAGGAATATATCCAGTATACTTGAAACTTGGGCATTGTAATGAATATCTCTATTTCTTGTGAAATTATCACAATATTGCCAATATTGTCTCAATGTCATCTTGAGAAATTGTTGTATCTTTAAAAACAATTCCAAAAATCCCAAGTAAATATCTCCCCAACAAACTACTTAAAATTTTTCTTTTTCATCTTCTAACTATTATAAAAAATTTTGGTGTGCTATTACAGTGGTCTGACAAAAATGGTTAGAATGAGACACTGTTGAAGCTGGCTGGTTTGTTCAAAAAGAACTTTGAGGTCTTCACTAACTACAAGATTGGAGAGGATAACAGCC